TCAAAATTCATTTCAGGGGATTCAAAAACTTGTCCCAGCCGTTCCAAAGTTTTCACACCAATTTGGAATGCCAAAATACTACTACTTAGCCACTTTTGCCTAGAAATTTTGAAAATTCCAATTTTTTCCACACAACGACTTTTCAGAATAGGGCATTATTTGGACCAATCCGAACCATTGTTAATAACGTTCGTTCTTGGGCCAAAGTATATCAGTGTACCAAAATCAAAATATCTCAAAAATTGCGACCTGCAGCTTGAACACAAAAATACATAGACAGACAGGCTTAGATCGAATTATAAAATGATTCCAAATCGATCACTATAATAAAAAAAGGAGCGTCTATCTTAAGCCATTTTTAGTGTTACATACTTTCGCACTAACTTAATATACCCTGTATCACAACCGGAGTAGGGTATAAACACCAACATACAGATTTTCCTTAATACTATAAACGAATCTATAAACGCATTTAGGTAATTTTTATATACGTGGCTGTAAGGTATATTAAATTTATCATCTCGGTTGTAACGCTCAAAAATGCTCATCGAAAAGCTACATACTTGTCAGTGTAAAATTCTCAGTCGATTTAGCCTTATGCGGTCCCTCCTTCTATTCCTTTTCCTATCCTGACGTCCATTCCTCCTTCCGGGTGCCTTTTGTCTGCTATTAGAACGCGGATATCAGAAGCTCTAATTTAGCACATGCGCACTCAGGTGTACAAGCGCGTCGACAATTAAAAATAACACGAGTTAGTGTAATATTTTGAAGCAATTTCGCCACATCCCTTCATCCATCCGTCCATTCTCTGGCCATTTGTTATCAATAAAATAAATACTTTATATCAAGTCTTTATCAGTTTCATTAAATACATTAGTCAGTGCATTTGTCCCTTAATTTTTGCAACATAGTTATGAACATCAAATAATTGCCGTAGGGTGAACAAAAGTTATCCTAAACTTTGTATATGATATTGAAAGAGAGAAAGCAAGAGCAAGAGCAGTCAAAATCATCTTCGATGTCCTAATTAACCTTTAGTCACTTTTAAATCGCCGCTCGTAACTAACCGAAAAGTTATATATATATATCTACAAACGATTGTCTAGCGAACATTTGGTTAACAATTCAACTTAAATGACACCTTTTCAAAACTCGCTCTATGGCGCGTAAAATAAAATAGCTAACGATATAGGTTTATTTTAATGACTAAAACCCATATTCCTTTACCCATATCTCGGAAAGCGTTGTTTTTTAATCAGTTAATGCAATTTTTATATTTTTTTTTTTTCGCTTTTTATTTACATTCCTTAAAAGCAGCTGCATTTTGTATAAAATTTTTCTCTTTTTTTTTTTTTTTTTGCTTTTCTTGATTATTATTCTTGTTCTTGTTGCGCTTGCTGCTATTTGCTGTTGCTGCGCTCTTATACATTGTTATTATAGGTAGTTGTCCGAAATTAAAAAAAGAAAAAAGTCAACTGTCTTTTTTCGCCTATATATTTGATTGTATGAACGTATGTATGTGTGTATGTTTGGAGCTAAATGCCACTTGAATGCTGAAAATGTTTTAAGTGCGCCACATATAACAAGGTGCGGTCGGTCAGTCATCCAGTTTCGTGTTGTGTTTTTGTATGGATAAAAAAAAAAAAAAACTTTTCAGCCCGGTTTTGCTCTTTTTCTTCTTCTTTGCTGAAAAATTGAAATGAATGCTTGCGCTTGAATTCATTAAATTAAATGGGTGTTGTGTGCTGCAGCTGCAGTTTCTTTTCTTTTGTTTTTTTACAAGAAATACTTCAAAAAATAACGAAACTTAACCTAAACGTAAAGACATAAAGACAAGCACATACTTGACATATCATCTGCGCTAACGTTTTATGATTAGTTTAAAAAAAAATATAATATTTATTTTTTTATTTATTACATACATATATGCACACAATATTTAATCGATTGGTTGTTGATTTTCGGGAAATTTTAGATTTAATACTTTGCACTTAACCTTAATTATTGTAAGCGATTATCGTATAACGAAATATATTATGCTTCATAATGTGCGTGGCAACCTTCATGCAAAAAGATTTAAATTAAAATTGTGCCGGGATGGCACAAAAACTATTAGAACTAAGAAGATGCGACTTACGTCTAGTCATGGGCTACTACAGGGCTCATAATTCTTTCCAATACCACCTGAAAAACGTTGGTATGTCCGATACCGATGCTTGCAGATTCTGCCAAGAGTGGACTGAAAAATCCCATCATATTCTATGTGAATGTGAGGCCATCTGCACAACCAGACACCATGTGTTTGCCGAGCATTTTACTACGCTGGACACGTTGTGGTGCTTCGATCCAAGGAAGATGGCGGGATTTATAAAAATCCTAAGAGGGGCATCGACGAGTATAATAGATCTTCTAGGTCGCGTTACAGTTTGCCCACGCAATTAATAATAGTAACGATAACATGTAAAGGCAGCCGTCTTATGACTAATAACGTATTGGATTGTCAAGAAGGCATTCCGAGCAGAAGTTTTTAGGAATATTTTTGGCCAACGTAATATGTGAAGCTGAGACGCAACCAAATCTATTCGCTTGTTCCTTACTAATGATGCTAAACTGTTCATTTCGAAAATAAGAAATGATATTTCATAGACGAATTTCGATAAACTGAAATAATAGGAAGGACGACATTCAGATACCCTACAGTACTTTGCCAAAAATTACATCATAGGATGGTCGACGTAGTCGAATATAATGTAGATACTGTGACCTTGGAAAACTTTACTTTGCATAGAACCCCTGACACCCATGTAAAAACATATATTTTCCAAGAAAATTCAAGTGGAAGAGAATTCAAAAAATTATCTAATGGGATTTTTCAATCGCTGATATATCTTACAAGTAGTGCTGTAGATCCACGAAAACTCAGAGAACAACTTCAAATTTGATATGCCATTAATTTTTCAATTTATGAGCTCTAGCTGATAATGAAATTTTAATGAAAAATTTTAAAAACAACTTTCATTGTTCCAACTTCACGTGTACAGGTGATTAAGGTAAAATACTCATCGCGGAAATTTGAAGATGCCTCTTTTGACTAGCTCTCTCTCTCTCCCTCTCTCTCTCTTTCCTCCTCTTCTTCTCTCTCTCTCTAGCCAACTCTCTCCCTCACCCTCTCTCTCTTTCCTCCTCTTCTTCTCTCCCTCACCCTCTCTCTCTTTCCTCCTCTTCTCTCTCTCTCTCTCTCTCTCTCTCTCTCTCTCTCTCTCTCTGCTTCTTATGAGGACTGCTTTCTTTCTCTAGCGAAGAAGCCGTACATATCCACGTGAAAGAAAAATTCGACAGATGATGAATGAATACGTTTCTTATTAGACATGAATTCAAAATAATTATCGAATTAGGGTGGAAAAGGATCTTATGCAAATTTCATGAATACAGTTCATACTCGAAATTTGACTTCAAATGTAATCTTGGTTTTATATCTGCTTTTACCGAATTATAAATAAATAACGTCTGTTTTTACTGAGTCATTTGTTTAAAAATTGCGTTAAGATTTTGTTATTGAAAATGCTAAAACAAAAGAAGAAGAAGAAGGCAGCCTTGTAATTACTGCAATTATCTAATGAAAGGTTACGAAAGGTAAACATATTATAGGCCGTGTGTACCGATTTTGTTATTGTTCATGCAATTGAAAAGTGATTTAATTTACACCCACATTGCGTAATGTGTTTTTTTTTTTTTTTGTAAAAAGAAAGTAAAGATAGATGTGATCTCTCATCTCTCTCTCTCTCTCTCTCTCTTATATACCATACGAAAATCGCTATTTTACGGAGGGCTAAAGTAAAAGCGCAAAGATGATAGTTGTGTAAAGCATTTTCAATACAAACCGTAAAGTTAATATAAAGAAAATATTTTTAAATATTTCGCTGATCTCAATAGTTGTTTGTTTATTTGTGCAGGTCCTCGGGTTTGTCTAATTCGATATTTGTTCCAATTATACCCAACACTATAATGTATGTAACTTTGAAAAGAAAGAGCCACTATAAAATATATATACTCCTGATCAGTGTGACATTCTGAGTTGATTTGCTCATCTATTCAGCCATCTGTCCATCTGTCCGCCTTTATGGTGTGTATTGTTGGCACTCTACTCTTTGCAAAAATGGAGATATCGACTTCGAATTTTGTAGAAACATTGGGAGTTTTTGTGGCCGCTATCAGCTTCAAATTTTACAAAAACATTGGAAGTTTTGGCACGCAAGGTAGTATTGAAAATGAATCAAATCGGTCAAAGGACACACCTACAGGACCTTATAAGCTTAGTCCTTGTTTTTTCCACAAGGAAAAAAAATTAGCTTTTTGCTCGTTATTCTTACACATTGCAGCAGATAAAACTATGAGTGATGCTTGAGTACCTGCGTCTGTCCATTATTAAAATTTAATCTTTTTTCCATACCTTTGTAATCTATAAAAATTCTTGGCCAGTTTTAAATTCTGAATGCGCCTAAGCAAGTGCATCTGCCGTATTACCATGGTAAACATTCTTCCGTTCGTAAAAGTGAAGATATCGCGTACAAATTTGCAAAAAACTTGGAAAATTACCAAACCGGCCAAAGATCACGCACACTTAAGCAATAAAAACTGTTAACATGTTTGCTTTCATTGTTTATTCTGAAAATAGAAACAATCAGCCGCGCCCATCCAATATTATATAATATGAAAATTTGGCTCTTTTCCTATTTTTGGGATCACCGTGGTGGGTATAGAAGATTCGGTCATGGCCGAATATAATTGTCTTACTTGTTCAGGTTGTTACGGTAGTGCTACCGCTCAGCTTACCATAGTTGTACACGCAAGCGATAATTTGCGAGCACCGGCATCAAACATTAGCGGTCCTCTACCATGCATGAGTAACAAATAAGTGTGGTCATGTAAGGCCCAAACTGTCCGCTCTAGGCAAGGCGGCATATCTAGCACTACCAATTTCGAACGTATTGAAGCAGGCTCTTTATGCTTGCGACTTAAGGAATGAACCACCCGGGGTTTTTCGTAGTTAGACATGTAATGTGTTTGGATAATTGGAATACTCCTTCTTGCATTTGGATTATCTGTACGTCCGGGATTGCCAATCGACTTCTTCTCCTAAGAAGGAGAGAAGGATTCAAAGAGAAGCAGCGCCAGGCACTCAATCAGTTTACTACTTTTCTGGTCTAATCAATCCATCACATACCTGTGGTAAACCTTCATAGTAATTGGTTGCTACGTGGAGAAATTTGTAAGCAAACGACGTCCCACGATACTCTCGATGACTTTTCCACGAGGAGTTTTTCCCGTCAGGAAAATGTGATGGATATCGAAGATTGGGCCGTTGCCGAATACAATTTTCTTACACAATATTTTCAAAATGTTATTTAGCGACTTGCCACACAAATGGTCTTATCTATTATTCATTATCATTGCCCCCCTCTTTGATCTAAATACATCTGGAAATTTGCACTCCCCATGCAGGGACGAACATTTTTAGACAGAGGAGTGAATCTAGAGCTAAACCGATTGAGAAAACGATTTTAATAAAAGATGACGGCCTACCGAGTGTTGCATATATTCGCAGAGACTTAATATGCGTTTATTACAGGTAACGTAAAATGTAGTTGCACTAAGGCTTTGTAGATGGCCGAAAATAATGTCATGGACTACACCGTATCGTAGATACCTTCGTTTTTCGCTAATTGTACGGTCAAATCATTTCCAAATGTATAGTTTAAACTTCATTTATCTCCACTTGGAGAAATCCCAGTAAAGGCGAGTGGATACACAGCAATATATCTCCATTCTTCCCTAAGATCTACATATCCATTAATAAGAAAATCTTAATCAAATTTATTGCAAATATTCTGATTTTTTATTTACTAAAATAAATTTCCTTTACATATTTCTTTCTTATCATATAACTCAGGGCCGAACCTGATTAAAGTTTCGATTACAATTCAATCATTTTTAATAAAATTTGCATATAACACGTTTCGGCCAAAGATCTAACACGTATATATGTGTATACGTGCCGTCTGAAATATGTTTGAATGTGTTGTTTGATTTAAGGAAATAACATGAACTTATTTTTATTTATTCATTTCTTTTTTATCATTTGACCCTTTGCGCATAATTTCCTTTCAACACAAACTGATATAAATTTGCAAAGATCTTTAAAAAAACAAAAAAAACACACACACACACACATATATATATAACACACTCGTTCTCATGCATGTGTACAAACATACACGCCTATGTATATGGCGATGTAATTATGATTTGAAAATTTATGACTTTCCAAAATCCGCACATTACTCTGAAATGAACAAGAAAATAAGCAAAAAAAAAAAAACAAAAAAAGCCTGACTCTCTAACCAAGAAAATCAGACAGAAAAGCATACGCATATACATGCACATGAACGCATACATATTTACAGGAAGTTGTCAGCAAATTACGCACTTAATATGATGCCAAGCAAGCGGCGACTGATGATGAGCGTTTTTTACGCAGATATATTATGTTCGAAGAGAAAAGAAAAGAAAAGAACAGAAAAACAATAAAAGAAAAAAACGCACCCGCCAACGCCTTTTTTAATGCTGTTAATTCTTCTTCTTCCTTTTTCTTTGCTTTAGTTTCTTTTTTTTTTTTTTAATTTTTTTCTTACGTCAACATACTATTACTGCATAGTTACTGACTGACTGACTGACTGACTGGCTAAATATATATGTGCGACTTAACGTCTGCCGTCTGGCTGAGTAGAATCGTTTCTTCTCGTTATTTACTTATTTATTTTATGTATGTTTCTTTTTTTTTTTTTTTTCGTTCCTTCTTTTGTAGCGCGAATGACAGGAAACGCGTCATTTTTGTTATGTGAATCTGCACTTTTTATATTAATGTTGTTGTAGTAGTATAAAAATTTTGGTTTTCATTTATTTATTTATTTATTTACTTTTGTTTTTTTGGTGGGGCTTTACACAAAACAAAAAAAAAAAACAGAAAAAACCCACCAGTACCACTAGTGTACGCTTAATAATTTTAATGTTTTGTTTAACTAAAAACATTGACTTAATTTAATAAAATGTCAGGCAATTTTAACACGAATTTCATTCATATCGTTGTTATTGTTGTAAATTTGAAACTTAAGTTCAAGATCGTTAAAAAAAAATTTTTATATATATTTATATATATGTATATATGTGTACTTGTACGTTTGTGTACGTTATACAAAGTGCATATAAATACATTTCCTTCTAGTTGAACCTCACATCCTGTCTAGGGCAGCATGACAATTTCATTTCATTTTTTCTTTTTTTTTTTTTCTTTTTTTCTTTTGTATGTATTACTCGGTCTTCTGGCTGAAATTGTATGCAGGCGGATGTTAAATGAAATGCTGATAGCAATTGAATTTCCTGTCACTTCATATATATATATGGACAGAGATTTTCGTAAATTTTTTTTCTTTTTTTTTTTCATTATTAGACAATTAAACTATTAAAGGCGGTTAAGTGGAAAGGGATAGAGAAAGCCAAAAAGGGAAAAATGAAAAAAACGCACAGAAAGTTTAGACTAATAAACGAACGAGCAAAACGAAACTGACCAAAAAATAACAATCTTTCGTGTATATCGTATCCACACTCACTCTGTTTTTGCCCTACTTTGCTCCTCCCATCCCCACATCTATTTTATCCTCTTTATCATTCTCTTGACCACTCTCTCTCTCTCTCTCTCTCTCTCTCTCTCTCTCTCTCTCTCTCTCTCTATCTATCTCTCTCTCTATCTCCCTCTCCCTCTCTCTCTCTTTCTTTTTCTCTTCTTATCTTTCACTAACACTTGACAAATTTTCTTAGTGTTTTAAGTGGATGCCTTCAAACTATGCTTGATTTCATAGCATCCATAGACGGAACACGAGTTTGCGCTATGAAGTGTTATGCATTGTCCCCCGGCAGAGAGAGAAATTGCCCATTATATTAGAGGCACACTATTCCTGAAATGAGGGCTTAGTGAATATGTGTGCACCGTCCTACCGTGTCCCTAGAAGGTGTTCGGGCGTCAATGTCCTGTTGAGATCACTATAGCGACTACAAAAGGCCTCTTATGGGCTGCTGTTAGCTATTAGGTTGAAGCAACTTGGGCATATGGCATCCGCGATACTGATATTAGTCTTGGCAGTCTAGACATTTGTGGTGGGAATTTTTTATAGCCTCCCAGAATACTATCCATTTCATTATTGGCAATAATACCGAGACTGCAGAACTCTTCAAAACTTCTAAAAATTCTCTTATAAGCGGACCAACTCTGAAATGCGCCTTCTCCGCCAGACGAGCTTTCCAAAATGCAATGTTTCCACAGAGAATTTCATTAGATTCTTCGACTCTTTTCTGCTATCGCTTTAAAAAGCGCTTAAATGCTCGCCTATGGTGGTGCATAGGCCACCACGTGCAGCACAATTGCCGTAGGCGACGAAAAGTTTCGAATTAAAATTTGCAAATTTTATTGAAGATTGTAAAGCTTAAACGGCACCTGGTAAAAAAGTAAATCTTGGCAAATTGCATTTCCACAGCATCTGCAATAAATAATTGCGGCCTAACTTCGGAAATCTCTAAAAAAAAAAAAAAGAAAACTCTTGTCAACATTTCATATTCGTTCATGTATACGATTTGATATTCAGAATCAACCACATTAACGTTATCTCTGTTGCTGGGCCCAATATTACTTGAAACTATCTAATATATATGCTAATTTTAGCATTTATGCGTTAAAGTTATGCCGCCTTGTGACACTTTACTAAATATGCATTCATGAACGCCAAAAACAGCTACAAGATCTTTAACAAATATTACAACACAAGCCAACGCATATGTACGAGTGCTTTGATCACCAAGTAAACAGGGGGAAAAAAAAAGAAGAAGATCTGCTAGACTTTGAAACAATTGGCGCCATATGTTTTATGTTTCTGTTATGCTAAGTTCTTTACACACTTGAATGCAATTAATGTCTGGGTTAAAAAATATTTTTGTAACATATAAGTAAGTGGAAGTGTACTACGTTCATTGTTACATATACTTTATATATGCATAAATTCCAGAAAAATCTATAAAATTCTGATATGTATATATTTAACCGGATCTGAATATATATGAAGGCCGTGGGCCTGGGTGCACTTGATCTGAAATCGTTTATTTAATCGGACCAATCTTTTATTGCATACTATTATACATTAGAGTAAAATCGAAGAAATGGATCGGTATGTTTGATCTGAAATTTAGTCGCCCGCTCCTTTTATTGCATACTATTACAAATTAGCGTAAGATCGAAAAACGGCTATGTTTGATCTCACATTCGCCCAGTTCATTTGTTGCGTACTATCATACATTAGTGGAAGGTCGAAGAAAAGGTTGGCTATGTTCTATCTGAAATCATTTATTCATATCCAATCGGCCCATACTTTTATTGCATACTATTATACATTAGAGTAAGATCGAAGAGAAGATTAGGTACATTTGGTCCGAAATCGTTTATTCATATTTAATCGCCCCATCCTTTTATTGCATACTATGATACATGAGTGTAAGATCGAAGAAAAGGTTTCTATAATAGTTGCTTACATAAGTATTCCTGGCAAAAGAAGACCTCTTCATTTATTTGCTTCAGTTAAAGAGTGCTCAAGATTCGTGTTAAAAGTACTAAGTAGCTTTCTGCATTCATACACATCAGACGGAGTGTTACAGTAATTTGTGAGATAAAAACATATTTTTAAAAATTCTTCAAAAGCTATTTATAGAAATTTTTTTTGGAAAAATTCCAAAGAAAAATTTTGGCAGAGTATTTTAAAGTCTATAAAAAAAAAAAGAAACTGATTATGACTAATATATTGTATATAGATATATATACAGTAGCCCAATAAAGTCTACATACAGTAAGAAATATTAAACATTGCATTTATGGGTTGAGGGTTCAAAAAAATCTATTTCCTAACAAACAAAAAGTTAACTATCCAAGATTTAGCTTATTGTAAAGTTAAAAAGCCAAAAAAAAAAATAAAAAATTTACAGTAAAAACACATCACTAGAAGCTTCCAAGAGGAAAAAACATGTTTAGCTAGGAGTAATTAATTTACGCATTTGTTTGCTTACGTTTAAATAATAATTTATCAATTAAATTGAATTACTTTGTTGCTTTTCCTTAACACAAAGAAATTGCTGAGAAACTAACGAAAATAATTGGAACTAGTCGTGCTAGTGTTGAAAATATTAAAAAAAAAAAAATTACAATACCATAGCACAGTTCGAGCCAACCAAACGCTGACATATCGTGAAAAACAAATTGCAACAAATGAATCCAACACGATTGCTGCAAATATTGCAATGGACGTAGAAAAATATAAGCAAATTAGTGCTCATCACGAAAACCGTTCAAAATATTTTAAGAACCAATGATTCTCAGAGTTGCATTCCCCCAAAAAAAAAAAACCATTTATAAGCGAAATTAATTTATTTTACGCCTTGAATTCGCTTTAACTACAGCTAGATACGGTCTAAGTTTCATTAAGGGTTGATTCAAAGACTTCAAGGATCCTTGCATTACAAAAAGGCTATATAGGCCAAGACTTAGTTAGGCCAATACTTTAGCATGCCTCTATTATGTGGTCTCCTGTCTATAGATGTTATGTAGATTCAATTGAAAAGCAATTCTTGCTCTTTGCCCTTAGAAATTTGATTTGGCATCCTTTATCTCTCTGCCTCCATATGAGATGGATTGTTTCTCTTAGTCTTACCATCACTGGAGAAATGTAGATTTTCTCTTGGTATTTTCCTTCTTAATTAAGTTAATTAATGGCACTATCGGTTCGGTTACATTACTTGGTGAGATAAACTTTAATGGCCCTAATAGCTACTCTACGCATTTTATCTTCATTAAGCTTAGTCAATGTGAAATATAATTATTAGCTGTTTAATCCGTTCCTAGTTGTCTACCTAGGAAAGGTAAGGTTATGGAAAAACACTTTTAGAAAGTTGATCCAAACATTTAAATTCCTTCTGGGCCAACGTCATTGTAACAGAGTAAAGAAAAGGGTTTTTTTTTTCTTTTTTTTTTTTGCATGCAAGGAAAGATAATATCTGAGGAGTTTACTATGCCTCCATTTAAGAGTTCAAGAAACAATTATTTAAAAAAAATGATGAAAAGTGACGTAATTAATTTAAAGGAGTTTTTCTCCTTGCGCATGCTGTGTACCTAATGCAAATTGGCATTGAAAAACAGACAAGAACATTATAGTCCGGCAAGACCGACTATTAAATACCCTACACCACATTGTCTAACACAATTCTTCTATTACGGGTCAATTTTCCGCACCACATATTAAAAATTAGACTTCCCTGGTCTGCAAAGGGTCAACTTGCGTGAAAATTCTTATTAGGGTAGGAGCCGAGAAAAATTGGCCGAGGTACTTCAAATTTGGTACAATTAATTTTCATCGTGAACCATTGAAAATTATACCTTTTTGCCGTATGAACATCAGTTCTCGTTATATGAAAGGGGATTAAAAAATCACCCCATATGGTCCAAAGTTTTGATACGAATTTAGAATGCCGTAATACTACTACTCTCATCAAAATATCTTCAAAATGGCGACCTGTAGCTCGAACAAAATATTACATGGACAGACAGACAGGCTCAGACCGTTTCGGACTATGATTTTGAATCGATCGGCATAATGAAAGATCTTAAGCCCTTCTGCATGTTACATACGCCCGCTCTAATTTAATATATCCTGCACCACAAGTGGTATAGGGTACACCGATTTTCCTTAACCGCACACTGTGAACGAATCAATAAACGCAATTAGGTCATTTTTATATACGTGGCCGTATAGTATATTAAATTTATCGTCTCGTTTATAACACTCTAAAATGCTCACCAAAAAGCTCCGTAATATATATACTAGTCAGCACAAAATTCTCCATCCATTTAGCCTTATGCAGCCTCTCCTTCTATTCCTTTCTCTACCTTGTCTTCCATCCCTCTTTCCGACTTTTAAACTTTTGATTGATCGTGAAAGAGCTTTATGAACGCTACACTTTTTACTACAGATCAATATCCGCTGATGCTTCTTTGCCTTTGTTGTTTTTTTACCTACACTGCCCAAACATATCAATCGTATTTTCATATCCATTTATTATATAATGTCTCATATTTCCATCTAACTCGCCATGGTTGAGTGTACCTTCTCCATTGCGGATGGACATGAATACATTAACTGGAAAATCTCAAATTGATCGACATTACATTACATTCGGGGCAAATGCCCCGAATAATAGAAAGTGAGACAATGTCATTCTTTTCTACGGAAGTTGCCATTCTTTCCAAGTGTATATAGCATAAGCTAATCGCCACATTCTAATCGGTCGACGACTACTATAAACTAATTAAATTCAATTAGTAATGATTAGTGAGAGGTATGTTTAGCTTCTTTTAAACATCTTTATAAGCACTTCTTTTAATGAGGAAAAAGGCCTGAGACAATCGCTACCGTGCAAGCCACAAACAATGTCTTCTTTCTTCAAAAAAATCAAAACAAAAAAAAAAAAGGAAGAAAGACTGACTATATAGTATGCTATTATTATGGCATTGCTGTTCATAACTCATAAGTATGTTTTTGTTTTTCTCTAGCGCCCGCAAATACCCATGTATATATATGTATATGCTGTACATGCATACATATGTAGATTTTTTTTTAATTTATTCAAAGTCTAGGTCAATTAAATTACATTACGCAGCTTGCATCCGTATGCTCGCTCAAAAGCCTATAAAGAAATGATCTACATTTTTATGTGCATGCGGGCATATGCGCTTATATTTATGCATACTTACTCACATACATACGCATAAGCAAGGAGAAACAATAGTTTCCATTCAGTTGTGGAAACAATAACAATGACTTACAGTAAATTCCCATCGTATGCTTTCGACGAAGCATTAAACGTGTACATATATATATATATATATAATGGAAACTACTACTCCATTTCCCTTCCCAATCTCCCCCATCTCTCTTATAATTGTTTTCTCTTAGGCTTTACTATATAAAAAGTTTTAAGAATTAATTCATTAACACTTGCTTCCTTTACCCACTTTTTGTGGTGCAATAATTTCTCAGAAATAGAAAAGAAAACCGAAACTTGTCTAGAATTAAAAGTTACTTGACATTCAGTCCATAGCAATTATAAAAATTTTATGGGAAATTTTTTTTTCTATTATGAAGAGAAGGAGAAGAAAATAATTTGATGAAGAAAAAATGAAAATGAAAAAAATTTATTATTCCGGCTATAAGGCCAGCGTTGAGAATTGTTACCACAAACATCAAAGCAAACTTTTTCTACTCATCTTAACAGATTTTCTGAAAAGTCAGCTATAGCGTCACTTACGCACTGTTCAAATCGTTTATGACGCTCTATAGAGGACCATTAGCCCTGAACGATGCTTTTCATTAGATTAATGCGATTCCTCGGTTCCGATCAGAACGCAAACATCCTTTAGCTGTTCGGGAAGTTCACTCGTTCATTAGCAATGTAATATTAATTACATCGAAATCTGCACAAACACACACTGGTTGATTACTCTCTTCATATAATTGATTAATAGACCGACCCCAGAGATGAGTGACTTGCAAGTACCTTACATAATTAGTAAAATTTGGTTTGGATTTCTCTGATTCGAAGATAGGGAAAATTTATTATTTGTTAGATCTTAAGAAATGTTACTATAGTCGATGGACATGCCTACAGTACTACATAAAGTGAGGACATCTCTACTCTTCATAAGGAATAAAAAAATGGAATTTTTGCTCATTACTCATAAACTATAGGGGAGATATATGTACAAAAATTGAAAAGCATATTCTACGAGCGATGCTGTAGCATTTGCATAAAATTGGTAAAAATTAACCATTATATATATTATAATGTAAGCAAAGGAACACAAAAAGTATAAATTCTTTGCCAGTTTCAAATTTGGAACGCACCTAAGCATGTCCATCTGTCCGCCTGCCCAACTGCGCAGTATCTACGGTAAACATTCTCCCGTTAGCGGAAATCAAGACATGGCGTACAATTTTGCAAAAGAACTTAAAAATAGGCAGTTCGTTCTTCACCGACTTTGGCATCCGTAAGTTGCGCTTAAAATTAACGAATGCTCAAAACATAATGATATGCAAAATTAGTGAATTTTTTAATATTATAAACCTCGACGTCTTGTCGCTTATTAACATCTCAGTGTGCTTCGAGACGCTTTGTATGAAATTGTACGTTCAAGCCTTGCCTAGTTCTGGGCAGCTCTTCGTGGACTTGAACAAAGCGCTCTTCCATCAAATTCTAAGAAAATTTCAGTCCTACTAAGTGGATTAAAGAGAAAGCATCAGTGTTCGATTACGCTTTTTCTTGTAAGCTGCCTTTCTGATTATACTAAGCTTAATTCACTACTTCAGAGGTTCAAAATTGGGTCGCATAAAATGTGCTTACGAGCTTTACTGGCAACAATGGCTTTAAGAGATCTAATACTTAAGAATATTCACTCTTACCCTTACTCTTTAGGAGTGAATATGCTCAGAAGCCCTTTCGATAATATTGGTATTAACAAGCCGTAGTCCATTAAGCTAATGAGAGTTGGAACAACAGTTTTTCTCGCCATGGTGACCGTAGCATTTAGCACTTTAGGCCACTCAAAGCAGAACCGAGTGGAATATGCTCATGAGCTACACTTACTAACATCTAGTACTTCAGATGATTCAAAATTATTTCGTTAGTAGTAGCGTAACTTTTTGGAGCTTGGAAAGACGTGACACGATCGTTTGAACTTCATCATGTCTTTTGCGGAAAGATCCTTCTGGCATTTCATTTGCAAATGTCTCCCCGTTATAAGGTGACTGGCTACATTTATTAATTATTTGCTTTTATCATTACATGCCTTACATTCCACAGCTGAGAATGAGAGCATGTGTCAGTCATGATCGCAACATGTTTTCTTATCCCTCGCGATTTTAGAGCAAAGTCATTTAAATATGATTTACTCTTACGATTTTTCATACAATGATATCTGAATAAAGCGTAATATTGCTCTCATTACAATGAATTTAATTGCTAACATCCGTTTTGTTTTGGTTTTGTATAGATTCACATACCGTTTGCTTATATGTACATTTCCGTCAGTTATAATTTTAGCTCATTTACCTTTATACCTTTAAATACCGGAAACTCTAGTTATCTGACATAATAAGTGTAAATAAAAAATAATACAAATAAAAAAAAGAAAAACATTTTTTTTCTTTTTTTTTTTTATTTCTATAGAGAATTCGTAGAAAAATTATGAAAACTAAAATATTATTATTATTATTGTTATTGTTATTATTATTATTATTAGCGATTATTCAATACAAAACATATGGTTCTTCTCTATAATTACAGTTTAACAATATTACACATATTTAATATATAATGCAAGTGGAATCATCTTATACCAAATATACGGGGCGTGTACCACCTTTGGACTTATCTCAAGTTAATAGCAATAATTGTCGCAATCAAACGGACTTACACGATTTATGGGCAACAACAGCGGCAACAACAAAGACTGATTTACTTAACTCACCCGCCCAATTAAAACGAGCGATGTTACATCATCCCTACTATCAACAACATCATCTTCATAATCATCATAATCATCATCATCATCATCATCATCATAATGGTCAACAACAGCAGCAAAGGGTGCTTAAGACGGTCGTCACCAACTCCGCATTACATTGCAGTGAAAATTTTCAAAGTCAGTTAAATGAATTTTCATGTGATGATTTACCTATGGATCCCCGCGATTGGTCTAGAGCTGATGTTTGGAAATGGCTGATCAGTATGGCCGTTTCCGAAGGTCTCGAAGTTACTCCAGAATTACCTCAAAAATTTCCAATGAACGGCAAAGCTTTGTGTTTAATGAGTCTTGACATGTATTTAAGTCGTGTACCGGTCGGCGGCAAAATGTTGTATCGTGATTTTCGTGTACGCCTTGCGCGAGCAATGGCTTCGTTATCATAATGTTAAATATATATCGGATTTTAGTATTTTTTTTTTTTTTTTTATTAAAAATAAAAATTTTCCTTTTCTTTTTTTTTTTTTTTTTTTTTTTTTTGGTGTAAATATATAATAAATAATATAATTGTTTATAAATAAGTTTACTTACAATTGCGAATATTATATAAGAAAATTCTCCAGGGGTCCTATTAGTGAAATAAGTTTTGCAAATTTTATATTTTTAATAAATTAAAAAAGAATAAAAACATATATAATAAAAAATTAATAAAAAGAAAACAACAAAAACCGAAGAAAAACCAAAAAAAAAAAAAAATTCTTTTAACTATGCATAGCTCAAGTGGCTTCCAAATACTTGCAATATAGCAGAGTTGCATGTCATATGGGAATAACGAGAACAAGAAACTGCTTTGCTTCGAAAATTAAGTGATTGGTTCTCCGAACGTTTACCTGGATAGTCAACCAAATATTTTTGATTTTCATAGCACCCTTTTCATAACGAATCATTTAGAACCGAAATGTGGGATCCACAGCGCAACGATCGATGTTCATTATCCGAGCGATTTGCTTTTGTTTGAAAACTATGAATGGAACAAGAGGCTCATCGGCGTGCGCTTTCGCATCGCTTGTGTCGATATGTGAAAACTGGCATTGTCATGGCTGAGGTCGAAAACAATGCCTTCCTTGTTAATCTCTGCTATATGCTATATGTTATACTCCAAGGCTCGGTAACCTATAGCCCGCGTGTCCCATTGATAATATCAAGTGACCCACTTCAGCTGCGAAAATAAAATATAGCATATAAAAATAAGTTTTAAACCATAAATGCTGAAAATTCAGATGCTTTTGTTCATCTTAAAACGACTAACTATAAACCAGGCTTGACTAAATTGACCTCACAGGTTCAACATGATTATTATTTGCCTAAAAAAATGTTTTAATACGAAAATAAGACTGAGCCAAACGTCGCTGCGATCTGCGGCTAAAAAAAGGTTCCCGACCTCTGCCATACCCTATTGTTTGCTTTCATCGCGTTGTTGTGCACAGTGTAGTCAGTTGTCAGCACAATTACAGTAGCTCATCATGCACGTTTCTCTAGCAATCTCATCAAACACGAAAATTTTACCAATTCAGGCCTTGCTACCGCTTCGCTCACCGTAGATGGGCATGCTTTCCTCAAATTATTGCCATATGGGACTTACTTTCTTACTTTGCTTATCATTAATATTTTCAAAATCTTTATGTCCATCCTTCTATCATCTCCTTTGATAAGGTATTCGCAAATGCAAACTCAGCCCATAAAATTTTTTACTATTAATTTATTATCAGTAGATAAAAAACGTCGGACGTCTTCAATTTTTTTTTGTTAAATTTCATTGACTTCGTCAATAAGCGGTTGGTCAGAGCGTGCTACAATTCTTACACTCATATTTCAAGAATCGAAACAAGCTTGCTATTGATACATTGCTAACAATGCTAACAATTTTGTACCCTAGACCGCTGGTGGTGCAAAGGTATATTAAATTTGTCTGGATGAACACAACACCTAGAAGGACTTAAGAAAGACCCACCTTTTATCGTATATGCAGAATGACTTTTCTCATCGATCTAAATTTGTCTGTCCGTCCGTCCGCACTGAATTCTTGTATTCAAAGCTTAGGTTGCTAAATTTTGTCATAGTTTGACGAAATTTGGCTCGGATCGGGCCAATTTTTCGACCACTCCCCATATAACGCCCTATTTCAAAAGGTTGTTATGTGGAAAATGGTGCACTTTTCTAATCCACGCTAAGCAACATTCTGCGTTTAAGGATATTATTCATTAAGTTATTTTCAATCTTAACCAAAAACTGGGATTTTTACGGGAATGACGGACGGGATAGAGAGACCATACTCATTTTTTGGCCTCCTGATTCCTACTCGATAAATGTTTGCGAATGCAGCGATCAGCGGCCAAAGTTATGAATGATAGAAATAAAAACATGTCATCACTATTTCGGAAACTAAAACAGATGTAGGAAAACTGATAAAGACCATTGAACAGCTTTCCTAATATTTACAAAACGTCAAAAAATATTGAAATTTTACATATTTTATAACCATTTTGATACCATCCACTGACGGATGGGAGTATAGTTATAGTATTAGTATTAATTATAATTAGTATTAGTTATAATTTAATTGTGGTGGACGTTTCAATAGAGGCGGGTATGCAGGATTCTACTCCCGCCGAATATAACTTTCTTACTTGTTTCGCTTATGACCATCCGAACTCGTCTATCATTCATTTTGCCTTCAATTCGCTTGCGGATCTAGAAAAACTAGTAAAGAACACAATCGAACCGAATGACGGGAATAAAAAGAAAAGATGTGAGTATTACCGGCATTTCTTATTACCTTCGATACTTTAATGGTCACATCATTCTGTTGCTATCATTTGCTAGTAAAAAACGAACCTGCGTCATAACAGTCAGGCGAGAAAGGCACGCTGTTTGTCTCTTATAAAAAGAAGCTGGAATACATTGCGCAGCGTCCCAGCATTTAACAAAGTGTTATCATCACGCAATTATCACAAAGCTTTTTGCATCGAAATATACGTCGATGTATACAAAAATTCGATTTTAGAAGGTTGGGTTGGGTTGGTGGACTCGAAATTCAAAGTTCTGATTATATTCTTTATCAAACAATCTGTGCGTGCGGACACGTCCGATTTGGGAGCACTTGATTTAAGTACTTGCGAAGAGTAGCCCTGGATTTATAAATACATTCAATTTACCGCTTTCCCCAAATTCAAAACTTCATTCAAAAATCCGCAACAAGAAACGTTACGCATACCATTTGGTTTTCTTCCATTTAAGTCGATGTTGATGACAAAACAAAAAAAAATAAATAAATAAAAAGAAATATTTTATAAATTCTGGCTGCTTCTCTCCTTCATATCCATAAATATCATTTTAATTTAATACAATTTAAAAAAAAAAATCCCTTTGTTCTTGTCCTGGCGTTTACATTGCGACTATCACATATGTTTAATGATTAATCTTTTGTGCATTTTGGACATATGCGCCAAGCAATGTCTGCTATTTAAGTGCAAGTTAAAAAAAAAAAAAAAACAACAACAAAAACAAAAACAACACAAAAAAAAACATAAATGTGTTTATATAATTTTTATGTGCAGAGGTTGAGGCTGTTGTTGTAATGTTTTCATTTATTTAACCGACATCCCGGATGCATATTGACGAAAATAATAAAATTATATTTCTCCCTCTTCGAGTTATGTTCCCCTTATCCCCTATATAGGCGAACATGTGCCCTTAGTTATATTACTATTGTACACATATGGTTGATTGATGATTACTTTGGTCTTGTTGTTGATCTATGTATGTTGTATTTTGCATGCAAAAATTCTTTTGATATAAATTGAAAGAAGAAAATTAAAAGAGAAGGAGAGAGGAAACGTTTGTAAATAGTTTTGCTTGAGAACTATTTTTGCACTGATTACAGTACAGTAAGGAGGTACTGTTTAATGACTCTGTTTACAGTTAAATTTCTTTTAAAATCTTTATAGATTTCCTTGACATTAAAAACGGCTAAAGTAATAATTAATTGTCGTTTTAAAGATATCCGACGATGATAATCATCATCTCCGAAGCATATTAATAATAAGGAAAAGCTATTATAAAAAATAAACTAAGTGAAATGTTACCACAACCGTGCCCGTAAAATAGTGCAAAAATCATATAATCGATTATAATTTAAGCTAAAATTTTTATAGCCTTTCCTTGAGAATACACGCACATGGAAAATATTTCATCAATTAGTGCACTTTTCACAATTTATTTTGCTGACTCTACATAATCCTATGTTGCTTCACTTTATTTTTCTTTTCTTGATTATGGTGATTAGTGAGTGTGCTAAGAGAATAAGTGTAATTTTTAAAATGTTCTTCACGGTAAGTTGAATGTTTATTGGACGAAAAAAAATATTACAAAACATTTTAGTCAAGTTTTTTATTAGCCAGCACTCTTTCCATCTTTCTTATCTAATATAATTTGATGTAAAAAGTTCGTGTCGAATCAGTGATGAGTTGAAGTTTTCGGTATCACCACGAGAAGGGAGGCATTCCTTAAACACACAATAGATTCTTAATTGGAGTGTCCATTAATCAAGAACACAATTTCTTAGATTGGATGTGGTAAGATAATTCATTCCGTTTTGTCTGGGCAGCATATCTAATTTCTGTGTGCCTAACTTTCACTGAGACGGGTTTGCACTACAGAGGCAAGTGTTGTCGGTCACTTTATCAAGTACTTTTGTGATTATTGTGCCTATATAAGTGATCAACTCAATTATTTAACCTTGCGTTCGATTGTTAAGAATCATCTAAAATATAAGAAAAGTGTATCGAAATTTTGATGAAAGAACGCTACGATATTTTTCTTTCTTTTAAGATAAATTTAAGATTGACCTATGCTCGGCTGGACGTTTTGAGCGAAAATGTATGTCATTCATTTATTTGGTTGCGTGAGGACCAAAGTCACGTGTAGGTTAAGGCCAAAAATCCCTAAACCACTTAAGTATAGTTACTTAGTTATTTACTTTATCTATCATTAGCCCAACACGATATAATACTGCACTGTCGAAGGAAAGGGGGTTAGAAAAGATGTGCCAGCTGACCTATTTCCAATGTGGTTAAATTGCGGACTGGCGAAACCAATCAGAATATTTCCTTCATCTTGACTGAACCGCCGTAGACATAAAGCATCATCGACCGTCCATTCCATCCAACAAAAGATCGTTTCAGTTGAATATGAGTATGATTTCAGCCGCCAGATTTTTATTTAACTATCTGAAGCCATATATATATTTTGCTTAGTGAAGTAAGATAGTTTAATATAAGGAAAATGGATTAAAACATCAAAGCATATTGAAATTCTATTTGTTTATATTCGGTAGAGGAATATTAACAGCAGGTAAGGATGCTAAGAAAAGCCGCTGGGACTAATCGAGCATTATCTGATGAAAAGATAAATTTTTCCGCTGAAGAAAAATTTAAAGCTTCTTACAGTTGTTTTGTTAGTTAGCTCTAGGGACAAATATTGAAATCTCTGTAAAGCAAGATCCAGCAATTGAAGCAAATATGTCGAAATTGATGTAACTCTGCATAGAATTGCATTTGTTTGCGAATTTTTGTATCGAAAGCGGGAAAGGCATCTCTAACACTGAATTACATACATATTAGTACGCGTTAAAAACGTTTAATAAACTCCTTATATGTGATAATCATTTAACAATATTCGAACGTGCATTGCCATGTGCAACAGGGAATTGTGCTTAGGACATATACAGGAAATGTTAAGTATTTCTATCGATAACGTAGGCATGTAAGGAAGCGACCCAATTTATAAATCAATATATCAATATGTGATAATACGTATGACGTTCGCTCTGCTTTTTCGGCATATACTCTCAATGATATAAAGGTTCCAAAAACACTTACCGCTCCAGCCAACCTATATATAAACATAAGTAGAGAATACATACAAGCGTACGCATGTCATTTAAGAAATTTCATTCATATCATTGTTTAAGTAAACAAAAAATAAAAAAAAAAATAAAAAACCCACATGCATATCTTTCCATATTCAAAGAAATTTTTTAGAATTGTTGTTGAGTCAATATTTAGTTTCGTCATTTCATTCAAGAAAACAAAAACAAAAAAAAATTTGACACTTAAGGTAATGTTACACTTTTCTTTATATGAAGTATCACGTACACGCATACTTATATATATATGGATATACAAATTTTTGAGAGATTATAAGCGTTTTGTGTGTTTGGATTGACATACCGATGTACGTGCCCGTGCTTCTTTATCCAACATTAATCATATTTATTTTGGTTTGCGACTCTATCGCGGTAGCACTTGTCACAAGTCGTTCATAAATAAAGTTTTGTTATTATTGTTGTTATTTCTCTTTTAAGTGATCAACAAGGTTTTTGTTATTTATTTTGTTTATTTCAAATTTTTTTTTTTTTTTTTTTTTTTTTTTTTTGTAATTAGTTTTACCAACGGAAATTGTCAATAACTCATAAACGACTCAAAATGTTTAGCGTTTTTCTAATTATAAGTAATAGCAGAGACAATGACATAAATAGATGTTTCAAGATCTTGTACAAAATTGAAGTTAGGAGAATCTTAGGGACTTTTCATAATAACAGCAGTAATTAGCATGTGATGATAAACAAGCAGGGAAAAGCCAAACGAGAGGAGGAATATAGAAAGAGAGAGAGAGAGAGAGGAAGCAAATATTTGAAGAAATTTTTAAAAGCTTTTGCTATGATCTCTATATCAAAGTAAACAATTTTTTGCAAACATATCATTTCCCTAAACTATGGGCGTGGAATATATTAAATTTTTAATTCCATTGGCATCACTCAGCACTCGATAGAAGAACGAAACTTAATGAGAAAACCTACAGACTTCCTATTTACCTCCACAAAAATGAAGATTAAACAAGTTAATATTTTATGTTATGTGAAGACTCCATCAAATAATAGCTTGTTTTTATATCTATCTAAGACGAGGAGTGATCAAAACGTTTCAATCATTTATCAATCCGAAGGGGACTTAAGAGGCTTCATAAAATATCCATATACTTACAAAGCCTCAATTTCCGAATCGGTCTAGTCATGTCCGTCCGTCTGTATTTTTGTTTGCATGTCTACACCGTCCCCAATATTAAGATATCGTTTTCAAATTTACGAAAAATTTTGCAAGTTTTTACAGACAGATATATATTGAACAGGGACCAAGTCGGGAAAGGACACATCTGCACTGTAGTGTAAGTTGAAAACACTTTCTTTTTGAAAGAAATAGATCTTTTGCTCGCCGTTTATAACAATTGCCATAATAAAATTTCTACACATATTATGCAGATCAAAAATGAAAAAGATCGTCCAAGCTCACTCGGTATCATATATTACCAGGGTTTCATTTTTGTCGGGTTGTTTTTTTTTTTTTAATATAAAAATAGTGAGTACCAAAAAAATTCGACCCCATCCACAGAATATCGTTTTCTTACTTCTTTCATTTATATTCTTATCAAAATTGTATCCGTTTAAATGTCCAAACATAAATCGGCATTGTGCTAACTTACTATAAACTATACCGCTTCTGTTACAGAATGTATTAAGTTTGCGCGGATATATGTAGCGCTCAGAAAGACTTCAACTGGACCAATCTTTTATTATACTGATCGATTCAGAATCGTTCGCGAAATCGAATTAAACTTGCCTATCTGTCGGACGTGCGTCTATATATTTTTGTGCTTAACCTACACAAACGGGTGTTGGCCCAAGGACCGTAATCCTTTGAAAACGGATTGGATGGGGCTATTTTTACTATCGTAAACACTATTAGCTTTTGAAAAACACATCATTCTTAGCCTTGACTTTCAAAATCCTTCGCAATAAAAAAATAGAAATACAGAGAATTGGTCGCGGCTTGAGCACGTGTAATAGGAGAAGGATTAATAGAAATGGTATGATTTGCATACCAACACGCAACTCGAACGAATCTTTATCGAATGCGCCACTACTCAGGACAAAAAAATGGATACCCACAGCGGAAGAAGCTTCTGAAATGGTTACATTGAATTTAAGCCGACACCCTCGTCGACATGTATACCAGCGATATGAAGTGTCCGGTGAGCTACACTCGGCGACGAGGAAATGTTCGAAAACGAATCACAACACATCGCGGTGACCGTTAACGTGTCACAACATTACTTACATTACATTACAAATCGATTGAATGCAGTTCAACTCGGGCAGCAGCTCCGGGAAGTTAGAATGGCCAAAGTCAAACGGTGAACGACAACCCGAAAGTAGCCTAACAGCCAACAGACCACCAACTTTGCCAAAATTGATCTCAGCCCACCGACATGCACGTCTTTCGTTCGCTCGATGGACCAATGGAAGGCAGTACTGCAGAATCTGTCTTGATGGTAACGATGGACGGGCCAGAGTCTACTGATGACCCTGTGAGCATGTCGTACAATTTTGAATCTTTGAAAATGTCTCATATGGTAATGCTTTGGGGAAGCATATTACTGGAGACAAAAACCGAACTTGCTTGTGTTCGTCGCAGGGCCCAACAAAGCTCGTCAATTAAGGAATTGGTTTCATGGAGAAGCATTGTGTGTTTTGCAAAAGCTAACATTGTGTACTTCAGTTTAATTTTAAGTTATGGTTGCAACCTGAATGTAATTTAACAAATATATGGTTTTGCAGTAAAAAGTAGGGAGTGTGCAATCTTTTTGCTCTTGAAAGTAGTTGTACAGTGTACGGAAATACTTCAGGTTAATTATGAAAACGATAAACCCACTATTACGTTTCGCGTATGTGAGCTCATATTTGCTTAAATTGCTTCGTAAAAAAGGATTAAAGTCGCTTTGGCGAGAAACGTGATAACTGTTTTTCGTGCCAAAAGTTCGCTGATTTCGACTTGGACATGTGGTTTCAACAAAATTGTGCAGCCTATACAAAACCAATTTATTACCAGAAAACTTCAGTGAACTTACAATCTCTAAAAATGTTTATATAAGCTTGCCGCGAAGATCGTATGATATAACTGTATTGAACCTTTTACCGACGATTACATTGGCTTACTCCAATGAACGACAAACAAACTCTCAACGACCTTATTCATCAGAATTATTCGCGTTGCTAGTAAAATAATAGTAGTTTTATGTGGAAAAGTGCAAAAATTTTATGTTCCAGTAACGGACTTTTATGGAAGCCCGGAGGCGGCCATTTACGTGAAATCTTTTCTAATTAAAAATGTTATATTCCGACAGCAAAACCGCGTTAAAGTCTCGGATGGCAACATCCAGACTTGCCTTGAAGAACCTTCAAACGTTGAAGGAGCTAGGTAGGCACAATGAAGTGCACCTAAGACGGGCACCTGGCCTATCGAATGTTGAAAGCAGTGAAAGGGTTGACTGTCTAACCAACAAACGCGCCCGAGGGGGCATGAAACGTCCTGAGCCTTTCTGGGGCGAGCCAAGAACCCACATCAATAGGCTGTTATCGCAATAGGCACAGAATAAAGCGGACTGGCAAAAAGATTCATAAAATTTCCAATAGGGCATATGCTGGAACTAAGGAGAAGCGACCTACGTTTAGCCATCGGCCTCCACAAGGGCCATAATAGCCATAGATAGCATCTGAAAAACGTGGGTATCTTTGATGCCGATTCAAGCAGTTTCTGCCAAGGGACGAGTGAAACGCCCTATCATATTCTGTACGAATGTAACAACAAATGAAAGACATGTCTATCTGAAGTCCCTCTTCTTGCACATAATCCTACAATTACAAGTTACTCCAAAGATATATGTACAACAATATCCAAATATTTACAAAAGCTTTTCCAAATTTTCGATAGAATTGCTTTGAAAAATTGATATTATATGGGAGTTCTTGTTACCAAATGGTGCAAGCATTAGTACACATTGACTTTCAGAGCACAGTGCATGTCAATTTCGATTTGTTAATTTTTTATGTTATTCATAAAAAAAATTGGTTGAGATAAAATTCAAGCGTTTGCCGATCTATATATATAAAATAAAATTGTATTTTTTAAATAAATTTGAGCTCAATACTTATCAAGCAATGTACCAAAAGCAAATGTAAGTATCGATCGAATTTGAGGCCTAAGCATTTTCACTTATTTGTTTCATGGATTTATTCTACATATACGTGAGAATGATTTTAGGTCCCAAAGAAAAGTTGGCGGTAATTTTGTGAATGCAAGTGAACCTGGCCAAATAAATTTATTGGAAATTAGTCCTCGCATAAGCAATAAATTCGACCATAACGATGCTTCAACTATCGCATCGAAAGTCAATTTCATCGGAGACTCGTGAGCTGCTTCATAAATCGGTTGAAATGTCTTGTGACATTTAATTTTTTTTGTTTTTTATAGAAACACGACATTAACGGATGAACCGCGTGCAGTGGCCGTTTCGGCAAATGGCGAGAAGCATTCTATCGACCTGAATGATTTAAAAGAAAATATAAGTAACTCGTTTGTCGCTAGTCAATCTACGCTGGAAAACATCAGTGCTATGTCTGTACAGGATTCATTTCCATCAATTAGAATCGATGGCGCGACGGAGCACTTATATCGACCTGTGTCGAAGTGTCATATAGATAGCGCGAAGCTGCTTAAGAAACAGATGGTAAGACGATATAAAATTGACGATAAATCCTGAAAACACCAATCGTTTGATGAATGATTAAGGTTTTATAACCATTTCTGATGATATTTAAATATCGTCGTATAGCGACTCAACATTTTGTCTAACCATTTGTTCTAATTTTCGATTTTCCAACTGACTTTTTAGTTAATCTCATCAGTGCCAAATTTTACAAATTGCTTAGTCACTACATTTGAATATGCTCTTAATAATAATTTTCATTTGCGAAAAGAGCCAAGTAATGCGATTTGTTTTGAGCAATTTCCGAAGCCATCCCCTTTGGGGCGAATTTGAGGAATTTTGAATTCCGAGTCCGGCTCGCATGTTCGATCAAGTTTTCAGGGCGAATTCTTGGTTTGGAGCTGACCTCTTCAGATCTTAGTCGAATTTTGAATCAGAGTTGGACTTAACACTCATAGCATTTTGTAACCTTCAATCATTGCATTGTATTCCTTTGAACTCAATATCCTCTAATAAACATAAAACATTTAGAACGGATCTTCACAATCAGGCGATTCTTGCTCGGGTGAAATTTTAACTGTCATCTTTCCAGGATTGCATTCTCAAACTTCTTTTTGAAATATACAGGAGCAGTTTTTTCCCAAACTGAGATTTTTTTTTTCTTTGTTAAACAATAATGTCAACATTCCACCCAACTTGTCGTACGTAGATATTGTCGTTAGCCTAGCGCTACGAGCCACTGCTGTTTCGGGTCGAGAGAAGTAAAATAAGTTCTTCTTCTATTTCCAACGCAGAGACTAAAGTATTAACTTCGATTTTATCCTTTATTTATAGCTTGCAGTTGATACAGGGAGCTAAAGGCAGGCAGACGGCGCTAGATAGTGCCTAAATCCACCATTTCTTATACCCTCTAATCTAATCCTATTCATTTCTTCTACTACTTTAATAATTGCTCATGATGCTATTTGTTCAGTTAATATATATGTAGTTAAAAAGCTATTCTATGAGATTCGATTTATAGCTTAAGACATACTAGCTTTAATTCCCACCTTGTTTAAAGTGTTTTCCAAGTTGATTCATAATTAAAAGATTACTAGTCTCGATTTGTGTGCATTTTCGCATCTTACACCGCATTTACAAAAAACACTTCCTAGACAACTTCTTCTATTAAAGCTGATTACTAGGCAGTATATTTTATGCCGCGAAAAAAAGTGTTTTACAAGGCTTAAGCAGGAATCATCGTTGGTGCAAGGGTCGAAGGTTTGGTATGAATAGGAGTACAAAAGCTACAAAGAAAAGAAACAATTTCATATCTTTTAGTTCGATTCTATCACTCGCGGTCTTCTTAAACACTTTCTGCTCTTTGGGTGGTAGATTTTATGTCGCGAGAGAGTTCTATTGCGAGATTTGAGCAGTAATTTATATCCACCTACATATCAGTATTTTTTTCTTCTTGTTTTAATACACATTGAAGTTACAGCAGTTACAGTTTCAGGTACAAAAGGAAGGTTAAGTAGTTTCCACAACCACTCAGCGGGGCTTGTTTTAGTCTGCTTAACTTCCTGGTCGCTTTGGGTTCGTAAGTATTTTTTTTATTATTATTTACCATGCTTTCATAAAGGAGGACCAACGATGTCAAAGACGACCTGTTGTTTTGTATTAAGCAGGGTCCAGAAACCGTTAGAAACCGATTTTTCCTTCTTCGTCCCAACTGTTTCTCTTCAATGATCGCTTAGTTTCGCTAGCCGCAAAAAAAATTTCTCATGCTTTCTTTATTATCGCGTCTTCCCGCAAGCAGGTAATGTGGTATTCTTTCCTTATTTATATCTAATATCTTCTGATTGATGACTTACCGTAAATTGAATGAAATCTGAATTCATTTTTACATCTGTTTTAATTATATTTAAAATTATTCACTAGTCGTCACGACGACACAATAATCAAAAGCATCGCTTGATTTGCACTCCCCGTAACTTGGATCGCTTATCAGGATCACGTATTAAAAGAGACTCATCACAGCTTCAACCAAGAATTAGTACGACAAATGTTCAGACTCAAACGGGTGCTGATACCATATTAGTATCAAAATCGATTCAGGCCTCGAATTTAACGCAAGAGAAATGTACCATCCCACCGACAACAACAAAGCAAAGACTGATTTATACGCAAGTTAACCCGGAAAACACACATGTACCCCATCATAATGGCAATGAATATGGAAGATACGAACAATACAGCGAACCGCAAAGGAGAATAACAAAATCACCTTTAACGCTTCCGCCAAGAACTCGAACCCCTTCTCCACGCAGACCAACCTTAGAAAAGCCTTTAAGACCCTACGGCAACAAGCATTCAAATTTAAGTTCCAGTTATTCAGGTAATATAAGCCGATTGGGATCAAATAGTACTAGAAAGATTAAATTTGAAAACTTTAATAATTTTTTTCCTTAGAATTACGTGCTATAGCTTCTGGAGTTACATTGATAACCGTAGTCTGGTGGCTACTTTCTACAATCTTTCAACTGGGAGGCATTAGCAATTTCATGGATAACGTTATCTATCAGATTCGAACATTTTATTTTGCCGATGAGAAGCCAAAGACAAAAGTCGAACTTCTTTGGGAATTTATAGCAAATTTTTGGCCTTCTTAAGGCAAGAAAATCGCACGTTACCCGCACGACTTTCAGAAATATTTTAAATCATATTTATATTTATCATCTTTATTATTTATTTAAAGAATCTTACCTAAAGAAGAGAAAAAAAGCAACAAATTTTATATACTATCAGTGACCTAATGAGTGGCCTCATTGAGGTTAAGTGGTTGGTTGAGAGTGCAATAGAGAGACGAAAGAAACAACAGTATATATGGGATATAATTACAAATCATGATCGCTACTTTATTATTTCACTTCATTTCCCTTTTACAACATATTTAGAAACATTGAAATACTGATCTTATTGTTAATGGACGACAGGCAGCTGCGATTGCCTTTGCGTAGCTATATAAAGAAATGCCTTTCATTGTAAAATCACCGTTTGTTAGTAAACTATTGAATTGAAAACGCTTAGCAGCGCTCGTCCGGCCTGCGTAGTGTAACGGAAATAAACACTCGTCATAAGCGGATATAAAGGCGTTATCAGTGACTAACTGTCAATTTCATATATGTAAACATTCACACCGCAATAAGTCAACGGAAAATTTCTTCAATTTCCATCGATTTAGATTTGTTCTGGGTGCAGGTTGCAAGCAGATTGAAACAAGCCCAGTAAATTTAAACGGAAGGAATTTCAAAAACTTTGACATTTACTGCCCGCAGCGTTAGCGTTATGTTAATCGTTATACTCATAGTAGTGGTAGCAAGTTATTCAACCGGCTTTGGGACCGTAACGTATCATGTTAGAAATTTTAATAAAATGTGAAGCAAAATTAATTGGCCTCACGCGATAAACCCTGATGAAATTCAACATTTAGTTTGAACCTGTAAAACCAGCCCACACAATTAGATCAAGAGTCTGAATATCAATTTACAGGTAGAACAGAAAAATTATTAGATTTTCCACGAGGAGAAAATTTTCGGTCAAAAATAGTTTTCAAGTAATATATTTGTATTTTTCCTTCTCAATGCCTCTATCCCAAGCTTTGCTATGACACTTGATGGTGTTAATATTGGTGACACGAATTGACTTAAAATGTCATTTTTTGGCCATTTGTTGCAAGAGTTGTCCAAAATGCACTGTTGCAGCTCGAACGGGAAGTTCTGCCACACACACAGACATGGCGTTTCGTGATTACCGCTTGCTTGGCTGGCGGGCGGGTCCGCAAAGTTAAAAAAGTGCAAAAATGGGACAGTGGGTGGATTGCTGCCAAACCAATAACAGTTCTTTTGGCCATGTTTTATGTTGTAAATTGTTGTAGAAAATGATTGAAACTATTTTGATTGATTGATTGTTTGCGAGTGAAAAAGTTATCAAAATATTTCCAAACACCTAATAATGAAATTAATAATAATAACGCCTGAAGGGCTCATCGAGGGCTACCAATATGTAGTGCTATGGTGCTCTCGCAGTATCCTAAACTTAATTATGTTCGCTTTTCATCGCCGCCTCCCCTCTCCGCGCTTAACAACTAGGGAAGAGACTAGATGACGTTGTCTATCACCTAAAAAGGGATGAATTTGTCTGGACATAGATTTAGAGAGAAGGAGAAAGGTGAAGAGAAGTGGGAGAAAAAAAACTTTCTAGTTTTCCTCCCAGTCCAGTTCTTATCGCCATTCTCTATCTAATGACAAAGATATATTCAGAGATATATAAGATGCCAGGGAATACTGGCCGCTCACCTTTTGACATTTCGGCAAAAAAATATCGCTATAGAGTATAAATTGTATTAGACCAAATGTATATAATTACCAAGTACTCTTCTTTGCACATCATTAATACATATCAACTCTGTCCTAGATCATAGGGTTGCATTTTTTCAGATTTTTTTGAGATTTTATTTATTTTATAAAAAAAAAAGAAAAATTTTTCAATAACTAAAAGCAAACAATGAAAAGGAAAAATTGGAAGGAACTAGGTACTATGTTCTACACAACGCTGTGGTGACTTTAAGTAAATGAAAACGCTCAAAACAAATTTTGAAAATGTTCGCTAAATCGTAAGACAAAATAATTATAAAAGTCTTTCTCTTGTGACCGACTTAGTACATTCTCTTCGATAGTATTTGGAAAGTTACAAACTAACTACAAGTTACGTGAACGTCAAAAAGGAGAAAACCGAATGACGGATTGGTAGAGGGAAAATGAAAAACACGTAGGCACGTACATATCTTAAGTATTTGTTGAATTATCTTTAAATTGTAAAAAATTTACTATAAAGTTTTTATTAAAATTCATCGAAAGTGTGGATTGAAGAAATGCAATAAAGAAACCAAAAAGCAAATTTACGTGCATGTAAATATAAGCCTGAATCACGTTAAGAATCGTGAATAATATTTATTCATTTATTTTTTATTTTTTTTGCAAGAACTGCAGATAACACCATGAAACAGATCAGCAGAACAAGAAAAAATAAACAAGTTGAAAAAAAAAGAGAAAAGAAAAACATTCACAAAAATGAAATTGTAATGCGCATGCGTTCACTTCTTTGCATTGTATACATATGTAGATGCGAGTGATACGTAAGTGTAAATATCAACTTGAAAAACTTGTTTCTGCGCATACCGAAAAGAATATTTTTGTTGCTGAAGTTCTACCATTTGAAGCCCTACAGTGGAGTAGGTCTTTACCAAATATACCTTTTTCCATGCATTCTCATCTCATCAGAAATTTCAAAACTGTTAACAGCAAAAATTGATACTCGGCTTATGGGGAATAAGCTTGATCCTCTTCTTTTTTTTTTGTTTAAGCTCAAACCAATTTCGTCGAGTTTAAAACTGCGAAACAAACGCAAAAACTGAAATGTACTCTAAACCATGCCCAAGCCCTCTAGAGAATAAGCTACTCTCTGACTATCATTAAAATAACTCGAAATATAACTTGCATTAGGTTTTCACTTAGAAGAAAACAGTTCATCGTTATTGCTCTCTATATAAGGAATTTTCCACGATTTACCTAAAGTACATATCTACAAAATTTCTTACATGATTAAGACTTTAACTTAAAAGTACAAAAAAATTGAATTCTTTTTTAGTAAACAATTCCCGATTTAATTAAATGCTACCAGCCTAAGTGGCCGAAGGCGAGGAATCTCGACTAGCAACTCAATGTTGGGTTCGAATCTCAAGCCTTAGATGCTAGTGCTTTTGTCAAGTTAGTCTTAGACTTTATTTCTCTGGCGAAATTAATGATAATAATAATAATTAAATGCTTTTACAGTTTTGTTTATATACCTACATATATTTACATAGGTACATATATATATATATATATATATGTCATTGTTTTTGTTCTCTATTATTGTTATTATTGCTGTTCTTATTGCAATTACGCTCATTATTATCGTCATTACTCTCAATACTGTCACTATAATTTATTTATACCAAGGAAATGGAGTCTTAGATAAAAGTAAGATAAGCATTAAGGGCTAAGGTTTCTTTTTTTAAAACAATTAAATGATTAACTTTACACGTTCAATAATGTCGAATATTTCGCTAGCCTAGCGTACGTCAGGTACTATCAAAATTTCCATACGATTAATCCTACCTAGAAGCTTTTCCCTCCTTTTATCCGGGGCAACTCGTCAGCAATATTTTAATATAAGTCCCTGAGTTATGATGTTACGGATAACCATTCGGCTATGTTCATTATTCTAGTTTTTTACAATGAGGCTTTCCCTTGATTATTCATCAATCAATTTGTTTATTAAGTCATAATTACTCATAATATAGTTTTTAGTCGAGAGCAAAGAAATTATCACAAGGCCCAGATGTATTTTAACAAATTTCAATGGAAATTATTTTTAAGGCAACAAGCACTTCTTTTCTTCACCACGTGGGAAGTCCTTTCTCACTTTTCCCGGTCCATTGGAGTTGAAATCATTTGATTTCATCTAAGACGCCCATTTCTCGTCGTCGGTCGTCTTACTCTTACTACTACTTACCTAACTTATTTTAGCAGTGAAGGTATGAGAGGACAAAATGAGCTGGTGACTTTGCCCCTCACAATGTTAAATTATGAAATTTTTTCGATCAATTGAAAACGGAACGATCGATTAGAGAAGCCATGACAAACTTTTGCAAATACTTTGATTGGTTTGATTTTCTGATCTTTGATTGTATAGAGTGGTGGAGACAGCTAAGGATTAACATAAAGGTAAAGTAACGTAAATTTTTTTTACTATCTTGCCCTCTAATGTAATTATTATATAGTGAATATATGTATGCGTTTTGTATATATTTTGTTTTCACTTATACATATTATCACTTATCCTATAAACTGTTTACGAATAGATAAAACCAATTGAACCAATTGAAGCTAGTGCGTTCTTATGATGCAAACGAAGCTTCATCGTCTGACATCTGGCGTCAGACAATATGCAGCCATGTAGAACAACGTTGAGCAGTATCAGACGACATCAAATAGTCGTAAACAATTATAGTCGCTTTTATGTTGAAAGCGATGGTACTAGTTCGTCAAGACTCCATTGCTTTTTCTTAGTGTGAACGAAATTTTCTCAATCAATATTTGCAGCTGCTAATAATACTGAATCCAAAGAGCGAACTGCTCGTTGTCTCAATTTATCAGTGAAGTTAGTTAGGGAGAATTAAAAAATCAATAAATAAGAAAAAAGAAGAGGGAACAAGATGTGGGCAAGCTTCCCCCTAGTTAGCTGCTACCTTCCAAATGTTTTTTGCAATATCGGAAAACAAGTCATCATTTTAAGCTGTTCACAAAAAGATGAATTTTTCTGTTAAGATTAGGAAAATGCAAGCATTGCCACAAAAAGGCTTAAGCTATTGATTGCGACGAGTGATACTGTGAAAAAGCGATAAGTGATACTGTTGCGTAACGCACATGAGAGGGAAGTAGTGATAATCTAAAATCAGTGTACTCGTCAGTCCTAGACGAATCATACAATATTCGTAGAGTCGGGCGGAAAAATCATTTCATTGTCTTCGTGCATGTTTCGCATAATTCGTATCAATTTTTTCGCT